TTAAAAGCTCAGCGATCCTAATCTGCCAACACTTTGGATCAATATGATCCTCTGGGTATGTGCCTAGTGAGCCACACAGGTCTCCAGTGAGCAGGGGACCCTTCTCAGGCCTAGGCACCCTGTTATCCTCTTTCCTACAGGCCTCAGGGATCTTGCGTTGTGTTCCTTCCCTCTGGCATGACTCTTCCTGGTGAGGTCATGTTCAAATCACAGAGTGAGCAGATGTCTTTCTTCTGGAAAACCATCCTGGACCCATCTGGGAAGTAAAACCCCTCTGTGGTATTTCTGCACAAGAATGTTCCTGACATTACTATAGCACTCATCATGCAGGTTATTTAAGTAAATATTTATTTCTCCTATTTGAAGTGAAGCCCTCCAAGGGCCAAGGGCATTCACCTAGACATCCAGTCCCGTGGCTTGTGTGGTGAGAGCACCCATAAATATTGTGGAGATGGAGTGACTTGAATAAAAATCAGCACAATGGCTCTTATTTTCCTTCTGGAGATGGTGCAGGCAGACACATCTATGAAAACCTCTATCCCTCCTTGTCCTCAGGTCATTGGGGCCTAGGTTCCAAAGGAGTCTTCTAGAAAAGTTTTCTTTCGGAAGTACTAAGACTGCAACGGCTTTCTGGAAACTGATGGATGATACTATGAGTCTAAGAGAATCAGGAGACTGGACATGAGAAAGATGGACAAAAGGTTCAGAAAGGTCCTAGCTAAATTTAGTGGGGACAGAGCCACACTCTGCCTGGCAACCTTCTCTGTGCACCATCTGGGAAGGGAGTGAAAATTCTGCTCTCAATTGGGATTATTATTTTTATCTCTCTTGACTCACTGAAATGCTTCGGTAGGAGAATTAAGGATCTGAATTTATTTATTTATTTATTTATCTATTTATTTATTTTGGGGACCGGGGATCGAACTCGGGTCCTTGTGCTTGCAAGGCAGGCGGCGGAACCACTGAGCTAAATCCCTGCCCCAAGGATCTGAATTTAATTGTCGGTTAACCCCCCAGGCTGCTGTCATCATCCCGAGTAGATCAGCCTGCAGGTTGTCCAAGCCCCCTCACCCCCTTGGCATGATGTCTTCCTCGAGGCTCGTCCTGTGTTGCTGCAAGTCTGGCTACACTGTGGGATGCTGTTCACATATCATCTAGACCAGGCAAATCTACTCACAGCATTGGCATGTAGGTGACTTGCCAACAATATCTGAACTAAATTATAAATGTCTGATTGGTCCAGTTCAGGAAGCTTTGTAATTGAGAGTTGGCAGGGTTGGGTGGAAACAGGCACGTATACATGCCGCTGGTGGGGGTACATGCCAGAACACCCACCTGGTGGGACCCAATGTGGAGGCATCTATCAAAGTTAAAAACCCACATATCCCCGACCCAGGAGTCCTACAGCAGTATGAGTTACTGAGACATGCTCAGAGCTGTCATACACTGTGACACTGGCCAGATATTAATTCATTTAGCCATCACAAAAACCCTCTGAGGTAGGTGCCAGCATCATCCCTATTTTACAAATGAGAAAGTTGAAGAAAAGAGATGTTAAACATATGCCCAAGGTTATCCAGGCAGTCAGAACCCAGATATCTGGCTTGCTGGTGAGCTGCTTACTTGCTATACTACACTATAGCCTTCCACATCATTATCCATTGAAGTATAATCTATAATAGACCCAAATTAAAAACGACCTTACTGTCTATCAGAAGGGAAAGATTATGTTATGGCTTTTCTGTACAAAGAATAACTAGGCTAGTTCCTTTTTTAAGAAATGAAGTTGATGTGGAAGTATACATGTGTCATAATCTACATGCCATAAAAACTTAAGTTAAAAGAAGCAGAGCACAGGAGATTATGCCACTGTCTGTGGAAAAAATATATCCACATTATGGCTCCATATGCACAGCATAGTTCTGAAAAGATATATAAGAAGAGATAAAACAAAAGAACTAGTTTTCCTGGGATAGGGAACATGAAGGAAAGGGATGCTTTTCACTGTTATCTTTATGTACCTTTTAAATTCTACTGCATACTTGGATTACTTATTGGGAAAAAACTGAATTAGAAAGAATATACAATACCTGCAAAGCACATAAATAATAGCCTAATAGAAACCACAGCACCAGATGTTCAATTCTGTGAGTAAACATCCACATCATTTTAAAGTTATTTGTTCACTGCTCTAACATCTGGCTCGGAGGCCAGCACATCCCAGGTACCCCACAAATGCCTGTGAGATGAATGAATATTGAGTTGAATCCAACGAAACTGATATTTATAGAACTTCTTTTTGCAATTTTATGTAGGAGAAACCTGTACTTCTTTTTGAAAACAAGCTCAGTGAGGGACAATGATCTAGATTAAGAGTTATGGTGGTCAGCCCATGGTTCTAAACATGTACTTGTATTTTGGACTTCTTCAGAAAATGCTATTTAAGATGTGGTAGTTGTTCTCAACTCAGGGTAATTTTGCCCCCAGGTGACCTCTGGCAGTGTCTGGAGACATTTTTGATTGAGATGTTTTGTTTGTGTGTGTGTGTGTGGGGGGTGCTACAAGCATTTAGTGAGCAGAGGCCAGAGATGCTGCTAAACATCCTACAGGGCACAGCAAGTTGTCCCCCAGCCCCCGCGCCTACTACAAAATTATCCCCGTCCAAAAGTCAGGTGCTGAAGCTGAGAAGCCCTGAGCTGCAGGGATAGCACTGCCTCATGCACAATATGACCTTGACTCTTAGACCCTTGTTCAGAAGCCCTGGAACACACTTAGAGGTTTCATGTGTTTGTGTGCACTCCTAAAAATACAGCTGTGCCATCTTCCTGAACTGCATTTGTATTTAGTGTCTAGCTTATCAACCTTAGTTGAAATTTAGCGGAAGACCCATCCAACTCCAATCCATCCTCCTGCTGCAGTCACTTTGAGGGCCTGACAAATAATCGAATATCTGAGAAACAACTTTTTTGGGAAATCTTGCAGGAAGCCCATGAAAAGGTCAGCTGTCCCTGAAGGCAAGATTCTTCTCCTGAATGCTAGTTCATGAGATTGCTTCCTAAGAAAGTAAGGGTGAAGGAAGACATTCACATATATCTCAGTCAGAAGTCTTTAGAAAGGTCCAGGACAGCTTAGATCACGAGGGACCAGCCCTGTTGAAGAAGTGCTTCTTCTTTTTAAGCTTCCCCTCCAGGCTTCCACAGGGCAATGGGACTGCTCAGCCTGGTGTCAGAGGAAAACCCAGGGAGTCCTGGGCTGCTTTCCTTAACCTCCAGATACACAGCTGGGTCTCTTCCATCTGGAAGGCATCCTGGCTACTTGATACTCTTACAGTGAGATGGGGGTTCAGAGCCAGTGGTTCCATCCTGGCTCAGCTGCTTACCTGCCTGTGACATGTGAGAGTCACCTAATTAATATGACCCTTAGTTTCATCCTTTGTAAAATGAGTACACCACAGGTTTGCTGCAAAACTTCAATGAAGCTGAAGATGTGAACTGTGCTCTAGAACTGACCAGTTTCCATACAAATGCTAATTGCTATTCAATTCCACATCCCTTAAGATTTATTGCTCCCTTTTACCCTGGTGAATATGTGGTTCAGTAGGAGTCATCCCGGGGTGGGGGTGGCCGGTGGGGGCACGACGTGAGGGTTACTGTCAGGACTAGTGCTTGAGCCCTGCAAGAATGCTGTCAAGGGAGAAAAATAACAGTTCGTAATGACACTAAGGTGCACAGAAATAGGTGGAAAAGAGACTTTGAGGGTGACACAGTAAGATTCAAACTCAGCTACACTGTGTTTTTACACCTGGAGTCTGAAATAAACTGAAAATTTGAGGTAGCAATAAAACAAAGAAAATTGAAGACAATGGTTTTTTTTAAATGGCTTTTGCCATCAAAAGAGGAATCAAGGGCCGGGGATTTAGCTCAGTGGTTCCGGCGCCTGCCTCGCAAGTGCAAGGTCCCGAGTTCGATCCCCGGTACCAAAAAAAAAAAAAAAAAAGAGGAATCAAAAGGGTTATTCAAGGTGGGGCACTCAAATACCAACTTCTCAGGACTTATTTGTATTTCTGCAACCATGCAATGAATGCTAATGAAGTGCCTATGTTGCATCTGAGCTGTAGGCCTAGCTGTCCCCCAGGAAGGGATGTTGGAGCCCTGGTACCTGTGATTGCGAACTTATTTAAAAACACGTTGTGTGCGAATGTCATTAGTTAAAACAAAGCCATGTTGGATTAGGGTTAGTCCTAAATCCAGTGACTAATGTCACTGCCTTAAACAAAGGCAATGTGAAGACCCAGACACACGGAGAAGGAGGCTGTATGACAACAGGCAGAGACTGGAGTGATGCATCTGTGACACAAGGAGTGCCAAGGGCTGCCCCTGGAAGCTTGGGAAAGGCATGGAAGGAACAGATTTTCCCTCAGAGCCTCTGGAGGGAAGCAACCCTGCTAACACCTTGAGTTCAGACATCTGGTCTCCAGAACCATGAGAGAATAATTGTGTTGTTGAAGTCAACAAACATGTGGCAATTGATTATAGCAGTCCTAGGAAAATAATACAGCTTACCATGAGCAGGACACACAGGAGCCACTGCCCACCCTTGAGCCTGACGCCTGAAAGGACAGTCTGCGTGGAAGGGCTGCTGTGAGCATAAAGGGGATCAGGGTGTGGAGGGAGGTGCCAGCGACTGTGACTACTGTGGTGGTCAATGGTGGTCAGCATCAAAGGTCCCTTTTATCTGCCAGGCAGGCTGCTCTCAGAGAAGCAGAGATTAATCTGACACTCCCTTTTCTTTTTCAAGCCACGAAGATAATTACTCAGAACTCTATTTCCTTCATGGTTTTTGCAAATGGATTTTGTAGTGATTTTTCCCCAGGCCTTTGGCAGTGCTGAGGGAGGATGTAAAGGAGCCCATTAATATCAGCATGAGTCATTGGGGATACAGAAGAGCTGAAACAGAGATGAGAAATATCCCTAATTACAGCAGAAAACGCTGGGGGTTACCTGGCTCTCCAGAATGCTGCAGGGTTGGCTGTCTAATTCCTGGGGTCTTTCCTCAGCTCTCTGGGGAGATACCTTATGTTGTTGGATAAATTCTTCCAGTCTTAAAACCTAAAACAGAACACAAGAAACACTAGGCAATAAAACAAAGTACCGCCTCCTGGCTGTAGTCATTAATCTGGAAATCAATTCCCCAGGGTTGATGTGCTCTAGTGTCCCATTAGACAAATTCTAAGCATGCTTCTAGAAAAGCCATCACTAATTAGCTAGTTGCTTAATCTTTCCAGAAAAAGATGAGCTTAGCAAGTTTATATTATTCTACACTTTATTTCAAAATTACATGCATACATCTATAATAGACCCGCAGGGGGACTTTTGTTGGCTTTTATGCTATTTCTGGCAGGCAACTCAATTTCTTTCCTTTTTTTAACATAGAAAAGAACACACAAAATTTATTAGATGCCTAGGGCAGTGGAGTATTACACTCCTCAATTTCTTTTGAAAAAGTATTTGGTAAAGAAAATGAAAATATTTAAGAATTGTACAGATAAATTGATAGAAGAGTATCTGGGAGCTACTATTAAATTATAAAGCTTTAATTATGATGGTTGTTACTAATCAACTAATTGTAGCTTATCAACTGAACAGATTGTTTCCCCTCCAGACTTGAAAAGAATGAGGCCAATAACCATGAAGGAAACTCAGACACTGCCAGCAAATACGTGTAGAAAATCTAACACTTGTCAGGCAGCAGCTGGGAACAGGGAGGGAAAGGGGAGGGGACAGAGTGACAGCAAGATAGAAAAATGGTCCCTTGTCTTGAAAGACTATCATTTTGTGGGAGAGACAGATACAGGTTTATAACTATAGCAACACTCTGTAATGGAGCACATACAAAAACTGTAGCGCTGTTAATGGCATATTTCCTCTCTGCCAGCCACGGGTCAAAGCACTTTATAATATTAGCCCTCAAAATAACCACTATGAAGTGAGTACCACTGCATAGAAACTCCCAGAATCCAGGGAGCTTCCAGGGCAGCAAAGGATGAATAGGAGTCTGCCAGTGGTGAAGATGAGAAAGTGGATTCCGGGCAGCAAGACCAGCAGGTGCAATGGCAGAGGGCAGGTATGGGTGTGAAGACTGAGCCGTGGTTCCACATAGGGAGGGTTCAGCATGAAGGAGTGGACGGAGAGGGTAGAATCTTGGGGAGCGATGGTGGTGAGTTAGGTTGAGTCTACACTGTAAAACACACAGGGGCTAAGGAGTTTGGGGAAGGGGGAGTGAGGTCTTGAGCAGATTCAGGTTTTAGACCCTGAGTTCTGGAATTTGCACTGCTATAGGAAAAATGCAGATGCAGGGAGGCAACATGTGGAAAATCCAGGAAACATCCCAGAGGCACAGCAAGGCCATCAGAACATCCTCGTGGCTTTACATAAGGAGTATTTGAGAAAGAAACATTTCAAGATCATTGGAATCTCTTTATACTGCACCTTGCTAAGGTTTATGAAATATTCAGGAGTCCGGTGCAATTGTCTTTGACTCTTTCTATATTGCCCAGGTTGGTGTAGACTCAAGCAATCCTCCTGCCTCAGGTTCCCAAGTAGCTAGGACTACAGACATGTGCCACCGTGCCCAAACTGCTAGTTTATGTAACATCTATAAGGAGGTAAAGTAAGAGTCTAGGTGAGTCATCCTGAGAATCTTGTCCAAGATGTTGGTGCAGAGAGAATAACTGAGACAGCCCTGGGTCAGAGGACCCACAGAACTTGACAACTGAGTGGATGTGACGACAGAACAGGTTGGGACTGGAGGCCCAACGGCAGTGTGGTCAAGGGCGACTCTTCCATTTCCAGCCCTGGTGAGGGAGTGTGCGGACGCGAGCATCATTAATGTGGTAAAAGGCAGCGAGGCTGAAGAGCAAGAGTGAGGCACTTTGTCCACAGCCAAACTCTTGGTCACGGCTTGCAATCTGTAGTCACTCAGGTCCTGAGTGATCCTTAGCTACCAAAGAGGCAAACAGAGGCCGTACTGCGTAGTGGTTAAGGTGGGCCTTTAGAGCCACATTGCTTGGGTTTCAATCTCAGATTATCTATTTTGTGTCTGACTTTGGGGAAGTGATTTACCTTTTCTCTGCCTCAGTTTTCTCATTTCTAAATGAGAGATAATAATAAGCACCTATATGGTAAGGTGACTGTGAGGATTAAAAGAGTATATATAAATACAGGGCCGGGGATTTAGCTCAGTGGTTCCGTCACTTGCCTTGCAAGTGCAAGGACCCAAGTTCGATCCCTGGTACCAAAACAAAAAAAAAACAAAAGAGTATATATAAATATAAATTTTTTAGGCTGTATCTTGACTACAAAAAGCATTCCACAGAAGGAAATGATTTTTATTTTTAAAGAGGGGTTCTAAGAGGTAGTCACAGAAAGAATCAGATTTCTGTGATGTGACCCAGGCATCCCACACCAGAAGAATAACTGGCCTGGCCACAACCACAAACCTGAGGCCCCCTGAGACTGCAGAGCAGTCCAGGCACAATGTGAAGGTTGGCAGCATGGCTCAACTGGAAGGGAGAAAGTGAAGGAGGAGGAAGCGAGGAACCAAGGAAGAGAGGGAGAAGGGGAGAAATGGGCTCCTCTTCTGGGTGAGGAGGAAGAAGCCTCCAGTACAGGATTTCTCACAGCACCCACCTCTAGTCCCTGATGGATTAAGTCTCAGGCACGGGATGCTCACTGCCTTTGTCTTTAACGATAATTTCAGAAATAGAAAACAGGTTAGAGAAAAATGTAATCGAAACCTGTGTACTCAATCTTCAGCTGCAGAAATAGCATCACAAATAGAGCTGCAGTCCCTTACACGTCTTCCTCTTCCACCCTGCTCTCTCCCTTCTAGAAATAACCACGGGTCCAAGTTCTGCCCCAGCACCCTCATGCATCGTTGGGATCCCCCTCCATGGATATGTACTTCTGGACAGCTGATACTGTTCTGTGCATGGCTTCTGTATGTGTAAAAGTTCCCCGGGGCTGGTGATGTAGCTCAGCTGTACTGCACTTGCCTAACATGGGTGAGGCCTTGAGTTCAGTCCCCAGCACTGAAAAAGAAAGTCCTCAGGAGTTGTGGTACACCTTAGCCAGGATCAAGAAACCAATTTCATGGGCTCCTGGGTCCAGTGGAAAACACAAGTCTTCTCTGGAAGGTGTGAAAAGTGGCAGGGAAAGGAAGAAAAGCTCTTCATATTTTTGGTTTTATCAGGATCAAACATGGCTCTTATGACCTTGTCTCTAACCTCTTACACTAGTTCTTCAGTACTTTTAAATTTAATTTATTTACTTATTTAGTACTGAGGATTGAACCCAAGGGCACTCTACCACTGAGCTACATCCCCAGCCCTTTTAATTTTATTTTGAGACAGAGTCTTGCTAAATCAGCCATACTGGCCTCACACTTAAGAACCTGAGTAGCTGGGGTTACAGGTGTGCACCACCCTTACTGGCCTTCAATACTTTTCAGGGCCTGTGAAAATGTTTCAGCTTCTTTTAACATCAGAAGAAAAAACACCCAGTCTGGATTGGATTACATTTACTATTTCATCAACTCTGTCATAAACCATATGTGTGTGTGTGTGTGTGTGTTTAAGTAAAAGAAGGGCCCAGGGAGACAGAGATGCCTTAGGCCCATAAAAGTGATAAAGCAGCCCATGAGCAGGAATGATTGCAGACTGACAATTCCAACGTCTTTCAGCCACAGGATCAACACCAGCTGCCTCCCGCATCCTTCCTTTACGTGAGCCTCTTTGCTTACGGCTGTAACTCAGGTTCCCTATTGCTCGCAGCTAAACTCATGCCCCGTAGGTAGGACAACCCCCTGGCTGGCTGAGCACCCTAGCCTCTGTCCTGGGGTGTAAGGAGCCGGAGGTTCCCGGCCTCTCAGCCAGGAGCCACAGCCTCACCCCAAGCGCCCTATTTTGGGGGTTTACCTCGAGCCAAGAACTCTGAAGCTGCACATTTAGGGCTGATTTCTCTTCTTCCAGCTGCCTTATTTCCTTTTCTGATTTCTTCTTCACTTCTTCCACCTGCGCCTCTACTTCCTAAGATGATAATTGGAAGTATTAGCTGCACAAGGCACAAAAGCAGGACATATAGGTATTCACACCCTGCCTCATTCCCAAAGGGGATCAAAGAAGCTTCCAAGAGGCATAAAACACTGCAAGACAACATAAATCAGAAATACACAAGAAGGTCAAAAGAAAACAAGCATTAAATCATACCACATGGAGAGACTCTTGCCTCTAAATCTTCCAGTGTCAAATAAAGAACAAAAATGTTCATTACTAATAAAATTCTAGTATCTCATAAGTAAAAAATACTACATTGTCTTAAGAGGACAAAACCACTACATACTCTAATCCAGTGAAATATTAAAAGCAAAACATTTCTCCATCTCAGGGGGACCCATATGTTAGTCAGATGGGGTTCACAGGGCAGATTCCTCCATGTCCTTGTCTACAATCTGTGAGCCTCAGTACAAAGCAGGTCCCAGTGAAGGTACCATATGAATGACACGGGCTCCTAGCTTTGTCATACTGAGCGCATTTTCAGACCTCCCTGGGACTCGCTGTGTTATATGCTTAGTCCTGGTCCAGGTACACAATGAAGATTCAATAAATGATACAATTGTGATTATGAGTATTGATGCTCAGCCTTTTTGATATGGTTTAGTTTCTACAGAAATCGTGTCAGTATTTAGAGGAGAGAATAAAATAACCTATTCCTTTTAGCATAGCTTCAGGTAGATATTGTAACATTCATTCATTCCAAAAATATTTATGGAGCCCTTCCATGTGCCACTGTTTTTGAAGCTGAGGATAAAAAAAGAAATAAAATTCTTATATGCCAAGAGCTTAAATTTCAGTGAAATAAAAGCAAAATCAGTAAGTAGAGTAAACACGATATTGGATGGAGAAACAGTCAAGCAGGAAAGGGGGCTCTGCAGTGTTGGGGAGGGATTAACATTTTAAAATTCTTTTTTTTTTTGGTACCAGGGATCGAACTCGGGTCCTTGTGCTTGCAAGGCAGGTGTCAGAACTACTGAGCTAAATCCGTGGCCTGGGATTAACGTTTTAGATAGTCTTTTTACAGAAGTGCTGCAGAAAAAGCAACAGTGGAGTCAAAGCATGCACAAAATGGGAAGCCAGCCAAGCAGTCTGTGGGCATGGCATGACATATGCAGGACCTGGAGAGACTGCCACGCGCTGAGGACAGAGTGAGAGCACTGCGGCTGCATGGGCCTGTGGCGGGGATTGAGCGAGGGAGGAGATTAAGTCAGCAGGACCTCAAACCAGGCCTTACACCTCTTGGTGATAGAAGTTGGACGAAGGCCTTGCAGCTCACATTTTCACAAGATCAAGTGGGTCTGTCTCGGGGACACACTGCCAAGAGGGTGGGGTGGGAGCAGGCGGCAGTGAGGGGCTGCTGCAGTAACTGCACGCCTCCCTGTGGTGAGGAGCGGTGAGCTCTGGACCTGCTGGGACGCAGGCGGGCAGGACTCAGTGGAAACACAGCATCTGCTACGCTGCAACTGGAGCGCCCCCAAAGGACCGCATGGAAGGCTTAGTCCCCAGCTTGATGCTACTGGGAGCCGGTGGAAACGAAGAGGTGAGCCCAGTGGGAGGGAGGTCCGGAGGTCATTCAGGCGTGCCTGTCATCCCTCTCACTTTCAGCCATGAGGTCAGCAGTTCTGGTCCGTCATGTGCTTCGTGCCATCATGTGCTGCCCCAGCTCAGGCCCCAAAGCAATGATGCCAATCAACCATGGACTAAGACCTCTGAAACCTTGAGCCAAAACAAATCCCCCCCCTCCTTTCCCCGGCTCTCTCTCTCAGTTTCAGATTAAACCTTGAGTCTTCACACTGAGCTATATTCCCAGTCCTTAAAAAAAAAGTTTTTAAAATTTTGACATAGGGTCTCACTAAGTCCCTAAATTGCCCAGGATGGGCTTCAACTTGAGACACAACTGCATCAGCCTCCCAGAGTGCTGGGATTACAGGCATGCAACATCATACTCAACTACCTCAGGTATTTTGTTACAGTAATACAAAACTAACACAACATACAAGGCAACAGCAAGGCTTTTGACCTGAGCAAGAAGTGGGTGGTGCTGCCACTAACTGAGACAGGGAAGATGACAGAAGGGACAGACTTGGAGAGAGTCTGGGGAGATTGCTTGCATGTATTCAGGTTCAGACAGCTAGACAGGTGGGTCAGGAATGAAGAGGAGAGTTCTGGGTTGGACATACACATTTGGCAGTCATCAGGATATGGGATACATTAAGGCATGTTTGGAGGAGAAAGATGAAAGAGAACAGAAAGAAAAGTAAAAAAGACTCCAGAATGGAGCCCTAGGTCACTCCAGCCTTTCCTGTGAATTAGAGGCTCTGATACCTAGCAGCTAGATAGTGGCTCTTCAGGCTGCCAACTGGTTATGGATCTTTACATCTAACTGGGAGTAGGTGGACAGAACAATTATGGCTCACATTTACTGAATGCATAACTGAGGCAAGAGCTGGAGGTGGCTGGAGGCATCAGTCTTTATGAGAACTCCGAGTTAGGTACTATTGTTACGATTTATTATGAAGAATAAGGAATGAACTTAACGATGTTAAATGACACCAGGCATTCTGAGAAGCTAAGACAAGAGGATCCCAAGTTTGAGCCCAGCCTTGGAAACTCAGCAAGACTCTATCTCAAAATAAAAAATACAGAGCTAGAGATGTAGCTCACTGGGAAGGCCTTGGGTTCAATTCCCAAAGCTGTCAATAAGTGAATGAATGAGAATGAGTGAGATGTTAAATGGCTTGCCCAGGGTCATGAAGCCCGTAAGTGGAGTGGTCAAGATTTGAACTTGGGAAAGGCTGGCTACTTGGTTGTGCCTCTTTCTTGATTTCTTAAAAGAAGTGAGACACTTAGTACAGACACATGTCTGATTGAAAGGTTTCCCTGTTTCTGCTACAGAGATGCTGAGAGGGTTTCTGAAGGCAGACCCCACAGCAGGGTGGAGGAGTCCTATTCTATTTCAGAGGGGTGAGGAGCAAACATATGGTCAAATACTAATAAAACTGGGGCTGGTGTGGGGTCAAACGTGCCATTCATTCATTCATTCGTTCAACTAACCAATATAAACCGAACAGCTATCATAGGTCAACTGTCACGCTAAGAGACTAGGGATATAGTCAGTGTGTGTTGGTAAATGTTTAACAACTGGCTTTCCAAAAGATTAAAATAAATTGATTTTGATGGTATAAGTATTTTACTATGGCCAATGTGAAGTTCAGTGAGATGTAACAACTGCCTGTCACAGCAGGTATGAACTGGCTCCAACATGCTGCTAGATGTCAAAGTGAACAAGGCATCCATCCCAGTGGGGAAACACAGAGTAGACAGGAGTTGTAGGGCAGAGTGGTAAGAGGTGTGCTAATGTAGGGACAGAGGTGACAGACTCAGTATCACCAGCCTGGGCACAGAAGGCTTGCAAGGAAACTGATATTTAAACTGGGACCGATATGATCAATAAGAAACTGGAAGGTGAATTTGGAAGTGGGGAAGAAAATGTTCTCCATGGAGGGGAGGCCACACTTAAAGGCTCAGAGGGAAAAAAATGGGACGGATGAGGAGCTAAAAGGCTGGAAGGCAGAGTTGGGCAGGGGAGAGGTGCGGAATGAGGTAGGAGAGGCAAATTGGGGGTCTATCCCCATAGGGTCTTATATACCATGCTAAGGAATTGGAACTGCACTACGAAGATGACGGAGTTGTTGGACAGCTGGAAACCAAGGCTGAGTGGTCAGAAAGTCCTGTGGGGATGGAGACCGGGTTACGTGAAGTGGGGAGACAAGGTTATCATGGGCTCTATCAAGGAATGGTGCTTAGCTGGGTCAGCATGGAAGCACTGCAAACAGGGGGATGGGGAGGTGTTCTGGGGCCAGCCAAACAGAACAGGCTTCACAGACTTGGTGGCCGACTGTGAAGGGTGGGAGAAGTCCCGTTTGGTTCCTGGGGCTCTGATCTGAACATCTGAAAAGCTGTGCTGTGGATCACCTGGATGGCAGCCTTATACTATCTGTGAGGCCAAGCCTAGTCCACCCAGTGGCCCTGGTCCCACCCAGTGGCATGTTCTCATGATGAGTCAGTGAAATAAGTAGAAAAGAGTGATGTGATGAGATTGCAAGGGTCACATGACATGACGCTAAACATACGTGTAGGTGCTCTTCAGTAAACCTATGGTGCGCTTTTGCAAGGTTTTTGGAGTTGGAGAGTTCATTTTTTAAAGCCAATGTGTAAAGTATTCTTTGATACCAAATAAGTTGAGATAACTGAAGCAGTCATTGGAATCCCTCATTTTTTACTTCATTAATTAGTTTCCCACCTACAAAAACTTCTATTGAACAAAAGTCTGGTTTAACATACCTACTGGCACGGATACTAACTCTGCCAACACACGCCCACTGTATCAGCACTTGAAAATATTCCACCATCATGATTTTGGCATAAAGGAAGGGCTATTTCTAACTTCTCGCAGCACAACTTCCTGGAGTACATATACTCAACCACGGTTTCAGCTGTTGTTATGATAAATGGACCTAAACTGGAAAAAAAATCTACCAATGGAAATAACTGATTTCAGCAGTAAGTTTTGGCATTAGTAAGCTTCACATTAGGAGCAGAATAATGTGGGTCACTGTTAGAAAACAAACAGTTCTCAGTCACTTGGAGAACACCTGGTAGAAAGAAGTATGCTGTGTCCAGCTCAGCTCAGTGATCTTGAGGGTTTCAGCAGGAGGCATTAACATTCTCCCAGCTCAGATGAGGAGAAAAAACAATCACAGAGTTAAGAACATGAGGAAAATGAAAGAGAATAATGCTTTCCCATATCTGAGTTACTGTACCCCAGAGAAGCAGGTTCCATCTCTGTAATTGTTTGGATGAAAAATGTCTCCCAAAAGGCTCATGTGTTTAGAGGTGGGGCTTTTGAAAGGGGATTTGATCACAGGAGTTAACCCATCGATGAGTTCCCAGCTGAATTTCTATTAGAAGTT